GAACCAGTTTCCGGTGTTTGAGAACCACGGGTCTGAGAAAAAGAAGCTGACTTGCCGTTCGAGACGGCACCTCGTAAACAGCAGCTGAAGCGTGTAGACAGTAAATACCTTCATTACCGACGAGAGGAGATGAACTCTGCCAAAGGCACAGAGAGAGCACAAAATAAGCTTCCTTGGGGTGGAAGAGGAGAGGACATGAGGACTGTTTGCTTTATGCCCTAGAATTTGGCTTCTTACCATGACTTTCTCCCCTCAGAAGAGCAAAGTATGTGTGGTAGTGGTGGGGGCGGGTTATTAGGGAATCAATAGAGAAAAGTAGGTAGACTGTCATCTCCAAAGATTTCAGTCAAATACCCACCCCCATGCCTTTTATCTTGGACTCTCTCAGCCTAGCATCTGCCAACCTTCCGCTCTCCTTGTCCCTTCCCCTTCTTAAAATAGCAGCAGAGGGGGTGCCTGGGTGGCTCAGCCAGTTAAGCATCTGACTTCGGCTCGGGTTGTGGTCTCAGTTTGTGGATTCAAGCCCCGTGTCGGGCTCTCTGTCAGCCCGGAGCGCACTTTGGATCCTCTGTCTCCCTCTCTCTCTGCCCCTCCCCCACGCAACAGACAAGTGATCTTTAATTCACCATGCTTTTGAAAATGCCACTGTCTCGTAAGGAAGGCTTCTGACCACTCCTCACTTTTTGGGAAAGGCAGTGCTGCGGTCCTGAGGAGGCCAGCCAGCTGCTCAGGTGGGTGTTGGAGTGATGCCTTTGACAGAAGTGTATGAGGACTTACTGTTTTGGTAAGTTTAAAATCAAAACACAGACGGAGTTCCTTTCTTCATTCATCAGTGTGTGACCAAAAGTCGGGGACCGCGAGGCTCTGTAATCTCTTCGTAGTGATTCCTGTATGCAACTGGGTGCTGTTTCATGATGAAGGTAACAGCGTGCCCACATTTAGGAAACCTCTGCCGTGCGATATTCGCTTCTTACTAGGTGGGTGAAGGACCTCGCCCACTGCAGGGACAGTAGCCGTTGGTCAGCTCTTGCCTTCACGCTTTGGTTGGAAGGCCAGTCCTGGGCACACTGAGTGTTCCGGGTCGCACCGGGGTATCCCAGATGCTGGCCCCGTGGCCGCCTCCCACTTCCTGATTCTACCCTGCCGCCCCTGCCATTACAACACCAGATGCTAGGACGTGGCTGTAAGGTGGGCCTCCTCAGAGAGGCGGGTCCCACATATCCAGGAGCAGGACAGCCGGTGGCCGTGCACCAGCTGGTGAAGAGGCGGCTTGTTGCAGCTGGCAGCAGGCTGAGGCCTCCACGTGTCACCCACCGTCCCTGTTCATTCCAGTACCGACTGCAAAGAAGATGATTGATAAATATTTGTTGCAGTAACGAAGTACGTTATTTTGTCTAAAAATTTATTAACAGCCCAAATAGCCATCAATACGAAATTACACATTCATAAGAAATTCTATGCAGGCATTAAAAAGAACAAGATTTACCTATAGATACTAATGAAGAAAGGACTCTCCTGTTGTTTAAGTAGGAAAAACAAGTTATAAAACAATAATCCCATTCAGGGAAAAAACAGTTTTACACACACACACACACACACACACACACACACACACACACGTAGAAAGGCAAGGCAGACCTGTGTCAGAAAAAGTCTAGCGGTATATACACCGAACTGCTGAAGTGTAGTTATTTCTGAGATTGACCTACAGAAGGTTACCGCTCCTTATTTAATTCTGTTGCGTTAGAATTTGTTACAAGATCTATTACGTTTGAAATCAGAAAACAATTTTTTTTAAGAAAAGAATTTCAAAGAAATCTGAATAGCTGACAGAATTTATTTTATTTTATTTTATTTTTAAATTTTTTTTTTTTCAACGTTTATTTATTTTTGGGACAGAGAGAGACAGAGCATGAACGGGGGAGGGGCAGAGAGAGAGGGAGACACAGAATCGGAAACAGGCTCCAGGCTCCGAGCCATCAGCCCAGAGCCTGACGCGGGGCTCGAACTCACGGACCGCGAGATCGTGACCTGGCTGAAGTCGGACGCTTAACCGACTGCGCCACCCAGGCGCCCCTGAATAGCTGACAGAATTTAAAGTTTGGATTCTAAGACTAGGATTTATGAAGATATTTTAAGGTTTTTACGAAGAGGAGGAAAAAACACAGAAAAAAACTTTCTGCTGAAGTTCTTTGTCTATGGTGTTTGCTTCCATCCAGTGCCCTCTCGATCTGCCTGGAAGCCAAAGAGCAGGGAGGGCCACCCAGTGTCCTGCGACTGTAACACCGCACATCCTATAGTTAATTCTGCAAAATAGCTGTTGGTCATTGTAGATAATTCTTAAAATAAAAATTTGCTCTGTAATCACTATGTAGGCTCTTCTGCAACATTCACTTGGTACTTAAAAGGAAAAATCCCCAGCAGCATCTATTGATTTGGCGGTCACATGAATGCAGAACATTTTCTCCAAGATTTTAGCTCTGGGTAGTATTTTCCTTCTTTCTAGCATATCCATACACCTCTGAGAGGGAGTCAAGTGGCCATGGGTTGAGACTCACCCAACTAGGGCAATAAAGAGAAAAATTAGTCTAATGCATGGTCTTAACAAGAGGGGGAGTGTGAGCATGAATAATTAATCTCACTAGTCTGTGGCAATCAGATAAAATGAAGTCCCATTTGCTCAACCTTATTAAAAGAGAGAGAGCGTGGGAGGGAGCGAGCAAGGGAGGGAGAAATGGTAAAGGTCGTTAAGGGACTTTTAACATGGAAAGAACCGCCTCAGAGATGGGTAATGTGTTTTCTAATCTCTGTGGTCTTTAACTAACCCTAATGGTAAAGGTACTCTTTGGATATTCTGATTCATTGAATTATTAAACATTTCAGAAAATACTTGACTCTTCGCTATGAACTTTGATGCCTTTATGATGAATTTGCAGTCTTTCCGGAGAGGGATCAGAGTTCCCTGTGTCACTCAGAGATGACCTATCCACTTGTCAAAAATGAACTAGAAAAAGTAAAGATGGTCCCAATACCAGATTTTAATTGTTAGGTTTACCACGGACCTTTGCACTTTCAAGGCCTACCTTCCTACGATGGAAGTGGAACTGTTATGAAAACAAAAAGACATTGAGTCTAACAACTCCACTGAAAGCTCTGTTATGATACAGAAGTGTGGAAATTATGAGAGACCATGAGGTTGCTGTTTGAATTGTTTTTATCCTTCCAGGAATGGATTTTATGCAACTTTTAGGTTACTCACTATAGATAGGTTTGATTACTTCTAATCAATATTACTTGCAAGAAGAACTTCTTTTGGATATTTTCGAATTGTTGAAATTGTTTTCATTTAAAATTGTTGGAATTTTCCCAAACTTACTTTCAACTGCGTGAAAATAAAAATAAAATTTAGCTTGCTCTCTGTAGTCTTTATGATTAGGAAGGCGGTTTAAGTTTTGAAATTGCCTCTTTCCTTTCAGCCTCTTTCAGGTGCTGCTCACAATAGTTAATTAATATTAGTCTTTTTTTTTTTAAACTGTGAAGCATTTCCAAAGGTTCACTTATTAGAAGTGTGTGTTGATGAAGAGATCGTGGTTTTCAAGGTGGAGACCCACAACCTCCCAGTACTGAAATAAGAATCTGTATCCTGATAATTGGTAATCGTACAGGTTGAGAAGAAAAAGATAGCACATTTCATTTTCATGTGTGTGAGAAGGGAGGAGAATCTATCTACAAAATATTAACATTAAAACTTCTGAGTTCGGGGCGCCTGGGTGGCGCAGTCGGTTAAGCGTCCGACTTCAGCCAGGTCACGATCTCGAGGTCCATGAATTCGAGCCCCGCGTCAGGCTCTGGGCTGATGGCTCAGAGCCTGGAGCCTGCTTCCGATTCTGTGTCTCCCTCTCTCTCTGCCCCTCCCCCGTTCATGCTCTGTCTCTCTCTGTCCCAAAAATAAATAAACGTTGAAAAAAAATTTATAAAAACTTCTGAGTTCAATAAATTTAACCACATGACCAACAGGATAGAATGCATGTTCAGGGAGGGTGTGTGTGTGTATGAGTGTGGGTGAATGAGGAGGCTTTTGAACTGTGAATTTGGGCAAGGGCTGTATCTTCAGTATTAACAACAGTGAATAATGCATAGCAAGCATTTCATGTTAATTCACTGAATTACTAAGATTTTTTGTTTAGTAAAAGACTTAAATATTCTTTAGGAAGATTCCTCATAAATCCTCCTTTTTTTTCTTTTTGCTGGAGAGATAGCACAGAAATGTTCAAATATGATGAATACCTTGTCTAGTGATCAAGGATACCTTATTTGCCTCTATACCTTATAGAACACAGCCTCCTAAAATTAGCAAGTTGAGAGTGGCTGAAGAGAGAAATGTTTGGGAATGTTCATTATACCAATATGATTATACCAATTATATCAATAAAAAAATTTTTTTTTAATGTTTGGGAACAAGGCTTTGTGTTTTGGTTTGCAGTTTAACCTAAAGGAATCACTGGTCATGTAGTGATTAAGTGTCCATCTTCCCGGATACTTGTAGTGTTGTTTTTACCTTCCGGGATATCCACAGAGAGAGGGGAAAAATAAAGAGAACACAGGCTGGCTCATCTGCAGACATCAGAAAATCAGAAAGCAGCTTCTCAGCAGTCAGTGACCCTTGTTTTCTCTGCTGCTTTTTCTGGCTTAGGAAATTGGGATACCTCATATCCCCATTTGGCATTTTCTTTTGTGTCCTAGGATTTTGCACCTTGGCCTGAGGAATTCTTGGGATGTTCTTTTGTTTTCTTTTGCGTGTCCTTTTGTCATTCCAATAGCCATATCCCTACACTGTCACTCCTTGGAGAAGGTAAGGACATTAAGCGGCAGATCCTGTCCCTTATAAAAGGAGCTGGGGAGTAATAATGGCCCTGCCCTGAGCAAGGCTGCAGTGAGAAGTGTTGCACGTAGGCCTCCTGTGTGCAGCTGCAAACCCATGCGTCTTCCTTCCTTCCCAGATCCTGGTGTACAGCCTGGAGGCAGAGCGCTGCCTCTCGAAGCTGGGTAACGCGCTCGGGGATTTCACTTGCGTCAACCTCAGAGACAGCCCTCCCAACCTCATGGTCAGTGGCAACATGGACAGGAGGTAAGTCTGAGCGAGGAGCCGCGTCTCGTAGCCACGGGAGCTCCTGCCGAGGCTTTGCCCCTCGGCTCGGCGCCACTGTTCTCGCTCATTCCCTCTGCTGCTCACACCGCTGCGTGCTCGCTCCACAGCCTCGCCTGCCTCAGCTCAGCCCTGATCCTTAAATACCGCCCCTGTGAACGTGGAGAACAAAGTCTTGCATTAGGTAATAGTTGGACAGAGCTGGGTCTCCGCCTCATTTCTGAAACGCTCCGGGAAGGTGGTCTTTTCAGCCATTTGGTGGACACAGTTGGTAGAAGGTCCAGTGAGACCACTTGGAATATCTTTTGTTCCCCTGCTGCAAAATTTGTTTGGCATTTAAAAGCTCACTTTCTAATATTAAAAACAATAACCTAAGGGCTGAATCATGTTCAACAGAATAGGGTTGCCTGCCAAATGATGTCAAGAGTGTATTTCAGAACACTATGGTGTCCCTCTGGTGATGGGGGGAGAAAGGGACTTGATGGGAACAGATTCCAGTTTCTCTTTAGCTGATTAGCAGTCTTCTCTTTAACGCTTTGGCTTAGGGAGTCGGATTTTCCTGGTACAGGGTCCAGTGCCAGCCACGACGCTCCAGGAACCATCAGCACGAAAGGATTAAAGTGTTTGAAAAGACCCTCTGAGTCCAAATTTTAGGTCTTTTTCTCTGCCCATTCCCTCTCCCCCTTGTCTTTTCTTTTCCTTGTCTTTTTTTTTTCTTTTCTCTTTTTTTTTTGGCTGGTTATCTGCCTTGTCTGATCCAGTGCCCGAAGAGAGGTAGCATGGCTAGAGGCCAGGGTCTGCCGGCGCCCCCCTTCCCCGGCCCGGCCCCGGGCTGCAGGTGGTGGGCTGCTCGGTGGGGGGGATCGGATCGCGAGGCGGGCACTCCTGCGTGCCAAGTCCCAGACCTCGGCCGCACCCGCACCGCTGCAGCAGCTTGCAAAAATAATTATCATGTCAAATAATATTTTCAACTCCTGACCTTCACCCCTCTGCTACCCCCTTCCCCTAGAGCAAACAGATTATGTGAGTGTGCTCTATCGAAAGAAAATTTTTTTCTCAAGGCTTCCTAAAATGGCTGATGATTTCTGAGCCAAGAATTGAACTCCTCAGTGTAGGTCCCATTTTTCTATTTCAAAACAAAACAAAACCAGGCTTGATAAGCGGCCCCGCGTGAGGCACAGCAAATGAAACCAGTCAGTTTGTAGTTCTACTCTCATGTTTGAGTTTGTAGACTGAGCTGTACAAAGGCTTCAAGCTTATCTGATAGGATCTCCCTCCAGGGACCTAGTAGCTACTAACCGCTTTCCAGGAGAGCGAATGCAGAGGGCTCCTGCGGGCGTCCACATGGAAGGGTTTCGGATTGTAGCTTATGCTTCAGAGTTTGTTTACAGCGTGAGCATTTAGGTAGGTGTTCAGCTACATCTCGGCTCACAGGACAGCATGGTAGTGTTCCAGAGAAGAGATGGCTCCCTTCTGCCTAACTTAGCCTAGTCGGTTGCAGGGCAGTTAAAGCCAGGTTTTCCTGACCCTTGTTGGCTGAACAGGATCCTTGTCAGTTAGGAGACCTACAGACTTCAGACTCTGTAAAGCTGAATTTTTTCCCTGGAGCAAGGCTGTCTGAGGGGCTAAAGGCCCTGTGTAAAATGGCTCTCTGGTCGTTTTTTCTTTTTCTTTCTTTCTTTCTTTCTTTCTTTCTTTCTTTCTTTCTTTCTTTCTTTCTAAAAAAATTTTTTTAATGTTTGTTTATTTTTGAAAGAGCACAAGCAGGGGAGAGGCAGAGAGAGAGAGGGAGGGAGGGAGTGAGACACAGAATCCGAAGGAGTCTCCAGGCTCAGCACGGAGCCCAACGTGGGGCTCAAACGCACGAACCGCGAGATCATGACCTGAGCCAGAGTCGGACGCCCAACCGACTGAGCCGCCCAGGCACCCCTCTCTGGTCATTTTCAAGTGCAGATTTGACCATGTTAAGCCTGTTTTATTAGGAAACGAATGTTATGTTTTTTGTTTGTTTCTTAATCCCCTGTCTCTGTGGGGTGAAAGGAACAGACTAGTGGTTTGGCGTTCAGGAGGCGGTGTGCAAGGTGGCATTTCATCAGGGCAGTCCTACAACTGCATGCCAGCTGTTTGACCACTCTGCTGGTGACCATCATATAGGAGGTCATTCTCTGTGAAGCAGAAAAGCAGTGTAAGCACAAAGAATTTGAAACACGGGTGTTAAAAAAATTATGTCTGGAAAAAGAAAAGAATAAAGAATGTAGGCTTTCAGATCGGTAGAGGGAGGTCGTGCGTGCATGTGTTTCCCCAAAGGCTTAATGAGCTATGAGTAGGATCTCTCTAGAAATGCACACCCAGGCTCATACAGCTTATGTTTCATTTCAACAGAGGCAGAAAGGGGTCAAATACTACGAAGAGAACTATATGTAGTTCTGGCTGCCACTGTAATGGTCAATGCACTTGTAAAAGCCTGGAACCTCCTTTTTTATATTTAAACTTAATCCTGCTGCACTCTCTTCATACTCTATCAACAACCTAAGAGTGTAGTGGACTCTGAAGATACATGAAACTGTCCCAGGTTAGGACAAAAATAATTTTTCATTAACATAAGGAAATCAGCAAACATGGGTAGAATTTTGTAAGGAGCTTGGGGGAGGGGTGGGAAGCAGGGGGGACTGATAGGCTGAAATTAAAAAGGAAAAAATAGCAGGGCACCTGGGTGGCTCAGTTGGTTAAGCGTCCAACTTCAGCTCAGGTCATGATCTCTCAGTTTGTGTGTTCGAGCCCCGCGTTGGGCTCCATGCTGACAGCCTAGAGCCTACATCTGATTCTCTATCTCCCTCTCTCTCTGCCTTTCCTGCTCATGCTCTCTCCCTCAGAAATAAGCATTAAACACACACACACGGAAAAAGCTCACCTAGCCTGTCACCCTGTCCACAAGAAGCAGGTTAGAGTCTGATGAAGTTGAAGAGAATGATTGCCTGGATACAGCTCTGGTTGGATCATGCCTCTGCCTCTCCCCTGCTGGCAGAGAAGGGCTATAAAGCAGGGACAGAGTGAGGTGTGGCTCTGCACGAGAGTTTTAACACTGTAGATCAGTGACTTCTTCTGAACGCACCCTTTGTCCTTTCCTGGTAAAGCAAGAAGAGTGAGGAATAGCGGAGTACCACGGACACTCACGTTCCTCCCCAGAGTGTCAGTCTAGCGCCCAGCGAGTGCCCGACACAAAGCTTTGTATTTACTCTAAGATGCCCTTCTCCTTTTACGTTTTCACCTGTGTGAAATCAGGACTTGCCGTTTACAAGGGCATCGTAAAATTGGCAGCATTTTTAAATGTTACCCAAAGTAACGGTGCTTCTTACGATCAATGGTATTTTTAATTAAATGAAACTATGTATTTGTTTACTGAAGGCAAAAATGAATTAATGGCCTGGGAATGAGAACATTTATGAGAAGCTTGAATAGATTACCAAGAGGAAGACTGCAGGAAATAAGCCACTTTGTTGTTGTTGTTGTTGTTGTTGTTGTTGTTGTTGTTGTTGTTTAACCTGTTTGGCATTCACCGAGCATTTAAATCTGTGAATTTATGTCTTCTACAAAATTTAGAAAGTTTTCGGTCATTACTTCTTCGGATATTTTTTTTCTGCGCCCATCCCCTCCCCTCCTGGGACTCCAGTGATGTCAAAGTCAGACCTTCGGATACTGTCCATCAGCCACTGATGCTATATGTTCCTTTTCTTCCCTAAACTTTCTGTTCTTCAGACTGCATAAGTATCCATTTAATTTCAGGTTCATGGCCGCCTTCTTTCCTCTGGCATCCCCATGTTCCTGCTGAGCCCCTTCAGTGAATTTTTTATTTCAGATATTTTTAGTTCAAAATTTCCACTTAGATCTCTTTCTCTGTTCAGAACATCATTCTCTCTTACCATTTTTACCTTTACTCCTTGGAATATAGTCACAGTAGCTGCTTTGAAAGTCATTGATGATTCCCCAAGTCTGGGTTGTTTTTTCCCATGAGAGTGGGTCACATTTTCCTGGGTGTGTGTGTGTGTGTGTGTGTGTGTGTGTGTGTTTGCAGGGGTGGTGTGGGGGGTATGTCAAGTAATTTAGGACTATATCCTGGACATTTGGAGTGTTACGTTGTGTCTGCTTTGGATCCTATTGTATAATCCTCTGGAGAATGTTAAGATTTTTGTTTTCAATAGGCAGCCGTCCTGGTTAAGTTCAGACTGGAAGTTCTGTCTCCTGTGGGTGGATATTCAAGTGTCCGCTCAATTTTCAAAGGTTTTTTTTATGCGGCTCTCGCTCTGTCCCACACATATGCCACCCAGCTCCCCAGGGGTTAGTCTGAGATGGCAGTGGTCTTTTACTTTTTTAAGTTGAAATATTGGTTGACATATAATGTTCTATTAGTTTCACGTGTACAACGTGATCAGCCGTTTTATCCACCTATCCATTATAGCAGAATAAGGGTAGTTACCATCTATTACCATACAATATTTTTGTAACATTCTGGACTGTATTCCCTTTGCTGTACTTTTCATCTCTGTGACTTATTGATTTTATAACTGGGATTCTGTATCCTCTTAGTCTCCTTCACCGTTTTGCTCATCCTCCCAACCTCCCTTTGCTCCGGCAGCCACGAGTTCATTCTCCGTGTTTATGAGTCTGTTTCTGTTTTTGGTTTGATCTCTTGTTTTGTTTTTTAGGTTCCATATCTGTGACATCATATGGTATTTGTCTTTTTCTCTTTGACTTATTTCAGGTAGTATAATACCTTCTAGGTCCGTGCATGTTGTAGGAGGAGAGACTTCATTTTTTGTGGCTGAGTAGTGTTCCATTGTATATACACACTACGTCTTTATCCATCCACCAACAGACACTTAAGTTGCTTCCGTATCTTGGCTCTTGTAAATAATGCTGCAGTGAACATGGGGATGCCATGCATCTTTTCAAATTAGTGGTTTTGTTTTCTTTGGGTAAATAAC